GAATGAGAGAAAAAAACAAACCTACCATTTTTATGCTGTTTTATAAAGTCAGTTAACTAAAATATTTATTTCTTCTTTTATGTAACACACTGATGTGTAGTTCCTTAAGAGTTTCTCAGTTGTTTACCAAGCTACAAAGCACTCCGCTAGTTCTATGCTCCCTTTTTTTAATATTTACTTATTTATGTGGCTGCACTGGGTCTTAGTTGTGGCATGCAGGCTCTTTGTTGCTGCTCACAGCCTTCTCTAGTTGCAGTTCTCAGATTCAGTTGCCCCGTGGCAAGTGGGATCCTGGTTCCCAAGCCAAGGAGTGCATACTTATTGCAGAACTATCACACTTCAAAGTTGAAAACCATAAAGAAAAGTTTCCAAGTAGCTAATAATTATAAAAAATAACATCCAAGCAAAAAAAAAAAAAAGAAAGAAATCATAAATTATATATATTCCACAGTTTTTTAAGAAGGAAATACATTTCTAAGTGAACACTAATTTTTCTCCATTAACTGACCGAAAGGTTCCACAAACACAAACTTTTGGTTAAAACTGTTATTTAGCCAATGATTATTTAAAACTTAATTTGACCTGAATAATCCTACAGAATTATAAAAATACTGTATTATCAATATATGTGTAGTCCCTTCGATTGGAAACTCAACTTTACAAAATTATCCTGTTATCAACTTCTAAGAGGTAAGTAATCAAACTTGAGAATCAGCTTCAACTGATATTTAGCATGAACTTACCTTCTTCGGTGTTAAAAACATTTGACTTTTTTTGAACAGTAAAGGAAAACAAGCACGTCCATGTGCATCCTAGCTTGCCTTCTACAATAATTTAAATACCTAAAAGTAACAGAAGCTATAATTTTTCTTGCACATAATAAAACCTATATTTGAATTTTACTTTCTCCAGCCAGAGCCAGTAAGTTCTAAAGTAGTAGTTCTCAAACCTTAATATGTATATGAATAACCTGAGGATCGTGTTAAAATGCAGATTCTGACTCAGAAGATCTGGGTAGGGATCTGAGAGTCTCCATTTCTAGCAAGCTCCCTGGTGATGCCAAATTTATTCACAGAGCAAGTAGCAAGCTTCTTTTAAAAAAGCATAATTTACAATATTTAAATGGCCATTGTTTGCAAAGCACTGGTCTAAATATTATTTCCAATTGAACTCCTAATTAAGCAACCTAACACTTTTCTGTCCTTATCTTTCTTGACTCCTAATATGGATGTGATATTTAAGCCCTTCATCAATTCTTAAAACCTAGAGAAGATGTAACCTTCCTTCTACCTCTCTTTTTGAATTCTTCCCATGTTCCTCATACATGTGGGTGCATCAAAGAATTCCATTCACAGCTTCATCTCTTCCATTTCTAATGATGTCCTTGGACCATCTATATGCTAATGGTCCAACTTCTGTATCTTAGGTCTAGATATTTCTCCCAGTCTAAGATCCACATATCTATCTATCTAACAGACAGAAATTTGTTTGTCTTCACAAGTAACTCAACATAAAATATCTCAAACTAAACTCAACACCTAGAAACCAACTTTTTCAATCCTGTATTGACTTTGTCACCACAGTCCACTCATTTGTCCAAACCACATTTTAATACTCCATTCTTCTCCCTCACCAAGTGCAATTAATTCCATCTTCTAATTTCTCAAATTTCATTCCTTCCTCTCTAATGTCAATGTCAGTTTGGACATGGATCATTTCCAATCTAGTTACCATAGTAATCTAACCAGTCTTCTTGCTTTCAATCTCATTTTCCTCAATTTCACCCTTCACACTATTGTGCAATCTTTGGAAACATAACTTGATAGCACTCTGCTATTAAAATTCACTGATGATTCCCCATTTCCTTCAGGAAAAAGTACTTTTTTTAAGCACATCATAGGAAGCTCTTCACAACTTTGATTTCTGTCTATCTCTCCAGTGTTAACTGCCCTTAACGGTCAGCATGTACTCTTACTATGCATGTCAAGCTATTTGGAGCTTCCTGAAAGGGCCCCACTCTCTAATGCCTCCGTATGTTTGCACAGGCTATTATTCATTATTCACTATGTTTAAAATGACCTTATTACGCTAAGTAATCTTCTTTCAAGACTCTATTCAAGCATCACATGCTTTAAAATGTCTTTTCTAATCACTTTAAGTCTGAGTTAGGTAACACCACAAACTGTGCTCCCTCTATTACAGGGTTTTGCCTATGCATACCTCTATTCTAACACTCAAAACTGTATTATAATTGATAGTTTATTCATCTCTTCCACTAGGATTGGGCTCATCAATTAGTCCTTTTAAGAACAGACTGTGCAGTATATAAGTTCTCAACAAATGTTTGCTGAATAAACTGTCTTGAAATATAGTCATGAATAATTATCATGGCTACATATTTAAACTATAAGTAACTTCCATTAACTGTATCTCTAAGGTAATAAAAAATTTACTTCATTTTATTTTTACGTTTAACAGAAATTCATAAGGCTTAACAAAACACAGAATTCATAAGGTATTCATTCACTTAACTCCCATTTTGAAAAACATTACAATAGCTTTCTGAACACTGTATTAAAGTGAGATATTTTAATTTCACTAACCACAATATTTAGACAAATAAAAGCACTAGTTTCATCAGTGAGGGAAGAAGTATTGGTAAAACAATGCATCTGTCATTCCCGTAGCTTAGGTTTGCACACTGTTTCTTTCTGGAGGGGAGAGGGAGGCATGTTGCATGGCTTATGGGATCTTAGTTCCCTAGCCAGAGACTGAACATGGGCCCTCAGCAGTGAAAGCACCACGTCCTAACCATTTGGCCACCAGGGAATCCCCTGACCAGTATTTCTACTTACTAGCTACATGACCTTCTTATAACAATGAACATCTCCAAGCCTCAGTTTCTTCAATGAAGAACAGATAAAACTGCTTACCTACCCCCCAGATTATTTCAAATAGTAAGATATGAACATGAAAGCATTTCTATAAACCCCAAAGTGCTAAACAAATCTGAACGACTATGTGAGGTTCCATCCCAAGTGCCAAAAATTTCAGCTGCAAATTCAGTTTCTCGGGCTATGACAATCTCCCATACCCACACCTCATCTCTCTCCAATGACTGAAATTCATAAATAAAATTAAGTGCCAGGATCACTGGAACACAAGACTCACTTAACAGCCCTCAATATCCTTAGGTGGTTGAAATGATTAATAATACCTGGTATGTTCTTAAAAAGTGGCTACTTTATTATTTTTTTTTAATGGCTACTTTATAAATCTCAAAGCAAATCTCAAGGTAAGTTGTTGGTACAGTCATTTAAATTTCAGCTCCATTTAAAAAAATTAGTTGGAGGACAAAAATCAGCAGGGAATATTTAGAGATATTTTATTCTATTATTTAGACTGGGTACTATCTATTGACATATATGCTTGATCCACTAGAGACTAGCTAATATGAAAGTTAAAAAAATCACCATTAGAAAACCAAGATATTCCCCCCACCCCAAGTTTCTGGCTTATTTCTCAGGTATGTTTGCTGGTCTATCAGTTAGAATAGAAAATTTGCTGCATTTTTCTAAATGAAAAAATTGATAGAGAACATTAATTCTGCTCTCAGCAATATCTTTCTTTGTTAAATAGGGACTTAGGAGGATTAAGAACTATATTTAAGAGAATTATTTTCAGTCCCTTTTCCAATATTTATAAAAATAGGATTCCTTAACCTTCAAAGGGCAAAACTCCTTTTAAAAAAAAAAGAAAAAGAAAAAATAAAATCTACTACAAAAGTCAGCACTTCGGTACCTGATTGTGGTAATAAGGCCAAAATCCAAGACGAAGCCCTTTATTGCACATCGTGTTCCAACATCTTGGGCAGCCCCATCTTGCGACCTCTCCAGATTGGCTGCTCCTGCTCTCTCTACTGCAGAGAGAACTTCAATTAGAGAAATTCTGAAGCTCATAAATCTAAACTGGATACTCCCCTCATTGGAGGCATGGATGGTAAGAATCACTAAAAAGATTCAAGTCAGAGAAGGTTTCATATAAATCTAAGTGGCTTGAAACCACTATAATGCAGGTGGCTGAGAGTCTTGTGATGCAAATCTGTTTACTTAAAAAAAAAGTCTTAAGAAAAAGAATGGCAGCAAATTATTAGATAACCTGAAAAAACAGGTTACATAATCATAAATCTCTAAAAAGTGAAAGTCTCCACTAAACTAGTGTAGAATGTATATCTGTAATACAAATTACAGCTGACCATTCATGTTCAGAATCCTTATGAAAAAAGCAAAGCAAGAAAAAAACTAGGACACATTATCAATTTTTTTATGCCCTAAAATAACTTCACTGAAAAAAATGTTTAGTTAAAAACCACTGGTTAGGAAGGAGAGGTTTCCCTGCTGACTTAAGCCTAGCTGCCCAAGCAAGGCTTCAGAATATGTCTTTACTCACTATAATGCATAGGCAGAAGGAGCAGAGGCTATGGCGGTCTTCCTAGTGACACTTCCAAGTCACATAAATGGGGTATGTTTCTGGGATAGACTGCCAACAAGTTACTGAAAGAAGAGAAACAAAAACAGCAAAACCCTGACAAGCAGGCAATGCCCTCATCATGTGTTTTATCATGACATAAAAGGTAAGTCTTAACTATTTACCCTGAGGCTACCAGATCTAAATCAAATCATCCACACTAATATTACCCAATTTACAAAAAACTGGATTGGTTTTCAAGCTGGTTTTCCATAAAAATTTGTTCCACAAAAAAGGATGTAAAACAGGTATAAAGCATTTCTTAGACCAAGCAAATAACAAGCCACACCCCAAAGAATTTCAGCAGTTAAGATTTTTTAATTAGAGTTATAAACAATCTGAACCACCTTTACCACCATGAATTTTAATCAAAAGTGTGCCGCTATGTGTTATGCAACAGAATGAAGTTAATAACTTTTTGAGGTACTGTAACCTGTGTTTACTAAATAATTTAACAATGATTTTTACCTTACCTGAGTGTGAAAATTTGAAATGGTGGTTGTTTCAATATCTTTCTTGCCCAGAATTTCCATTTTCACTGGAGTGTTGGGGAAATTAAAAGCAAAGTAGTCCAAGAAGTCTGGGAGATAAGCAGCCGCTCCATGCACTATTGCTAACGCATAGTAAGCAGCGTTTTTCTCGTTTTCACTGAATGTCAAAGCAAGAAACTCCTCAGAAAATCTCTCCATCTCCATTGGAGACAAAAATGAGAGTTCATCCATGTAAGCGTGAAGGACAAGAGCACCACCATTGGACTGGTGTTCCTCATGAATAAAGTTGCTAAATTTAGTACCTGTTTTTAAGAAATTTCTACGAATAGAATGTTCCTGGTGAGTCATAAAAGGTGTTTGTACTCCTTGGGGTACCCGATATTCTTGCATGCCCAAATTTAATCGACACAGCTGCTCATCTTTCAGATAGCTGAAGGACTCCTTATTAACTCCTGAAGTGCTATTTACTTGTCCTTGGGTGAGGATTTCCTTACTGATGCGGGTCAGGCCAGCACAGATGGTTTGTACTTCCTTATTGTACATTTTAAGGCGTCTTCCTCGCATATCTTCTCGGTGTTTCTTTTTCTTTTTCTTCTTTATTTTCTTCAAGACAAAATCATCAGCTCTCTGGGTTTTACCATTTTCATCTGGTGTTTCTGGCCACAATAATTAAAAAGAAGTTAGTTACTAGGCCTAGGGTCAACGTGCAAGCTTTTTAAGGTATGCAATCTCAAATTAAATAGCCTATTTTCAATTTCTCCAAATTTGTCATTATAATTCACATGTTTATAAAATGAAACAAAGATCTTAAAATACAAAAATATTCTGGATTGAAGACTTTGCTAAATAATGCAAAGGTAAGCATATAACCTAATATGATTTATAATCAAAACTAAAGATAATTAAAGATAACTATCTGAATAATTTCACATATACCATACTGTATGGAGTATCTGCTCAGGAACTGTAAAATCTAAATCAAAGCTTGCCATAATTTGCTGTTTGTCTATAAAACTACTATGATACATACTGGTGAGCAAAAAAGGACAAATTAAGCTGTAACATCATCATTTTGCCTGACAAATTGGTAAGTTTGGAGAGTGGCATTCTTATATACTGTTACTAGAAATATAAACTGTCATGGGGTGCAATTCAGTATCCCCAAAATGAATATGTACAAAGCCCTGAACATATTTATAATTCTTGGTCCCATAAACTCTACCCCAAGTAAAAATTACTCAAGAAAATAAGAAAACAATAACTAAGAAAAGACATATAAAGATATGCACGACAGTGTTATTTAGGGAATACCCTAAATGACTAACAACAGGATAAGGATTAAACTCTAGCATTTACATACAAGCTCTGGTATTTAAACTTTAGAATTTACATTAAACTCTGGATAAAATACTACCCACCATTATAAATTATATTATAGATGAAAAGAGCTGACAAATTACAAGGTTATAAAATGCTTACATTGTCACGCTTCCAGAAAGCCTTCTCTAACAACTCGTCCCCACCCAATTTGGATACCTTCTCCTACTACGTGCTTCCTTAATACTGTACTTCCTCTATTATATAGAACTTACTATTTTAATTGTCCACCTTTCCTCTAGACTGTAAGCAATACACATCTTACCTTTCTTTACAGAGCATCTAACGTATGTATAATCTGATCATATTTTTATAAATATTCATTCAAACATTTATTAAGTACCCACTATATGCCAGAAACCCTTCTAAGCACTAGAGTTACAGTGTTGACTGAAACAGATCTTATCCCTACTCTCCGAGACCTTATAGTCTAGTTGGACTAGAAAGTAACAGCATACTACTCTAGATGCTAGGGAAGCTCTCTTTGGAAGATGATATTTAGGCTGAGCCCTAAGTATTAAGACAAGCTAGGCATATTTTCTAGGGAAAAATATTCTAGAGAGAAGCAAAAGACCTAAAGATAAAAAAATGACCAATCTATATATATTCTGTATATGTACAACACAAAAAAAATCTGAGAAATAAACACCAAGGTATTAATGGCAGTTATCTAGGCTGGTAGGATTATAAATGTCTATCTTTCTTCTTTTTGGCTTATCTTTATTTTCTAATTTCTACAATAAATGTACATTACTTTTACAATTTGAAAAAGTACTTTTAATTTTTAAAGGATTATCACAGGTTGATAAACCCAAAATAAAATGGCATCTTTATTTACTAGTTGGAAAATAATACTAGAAAGAAATATTCAGGACTAAATAACAGGTATGGTCCTGACCATCTTTCAAGCTTGGAGTGGTATTTATTATATAGAATTTATCCATCAAAAAACTGTATGATTTCTGATGTGATACAGTAATTCAATGTTAAGACTGATATTCCAATTAATCCTACTACTAGATCGAGGTAGAACAAGTTCAATAGCTTTTACAGTAAAGAATTTACTTGGTATAATATGTAAATGACAAATCACACTAGTTAATACAAAACCATTCCAAGTCATCAGATATTACAATAGTTATAAAAGCTTTCTAAAGAAAATATTTAAATGTACAAGATAGACTTTGAAGTGTACAGATACCAAATGACTTGCAGTCTGTTTAACAGAAATAAAAATTTAACAAAAATAAAACCTTTCATTTGCAACCATCACTTACGAGTAAACTGAAATCATATATAAAATATAATGTAGTTAAGATTGTTTAAAGTTGCTAAAGAAAAGGCCATCTTTTATATGTAACAAAATCTTGGAGAATTCTTAAAATACTTAGTAATTTACCAAATAAAATGAATCTAATACTTTTCTCATATATCAAATCAGTAATTTGAGCAATCCCCCCAAGCAACCAAATGTAAATGCCATTAAATATAAAGGTTAGACCAATTTTAAAATAGTCATCTAATTATCCTCTGCTAAATGTTTTGGCAATTTCACAGGAAAAAAATAAAAAGAAAAAAATACCTCTGAATAGGTCTTGTTATTTTAAGATTCAGAGGAGGCATTTGGTATGCAGAAGATGAATTATGACCTAGCTCTGCCACTGAAATTAACACCAAGAAGGAGCTGCCTTGATTGTAACACATTTTCTATACTATCAGCTTACCAATGGTATTTCTGTGATGGCCAAATCTCTGTGGGTTTTATTCCAAAACTCATTTATATGAGAACCATTCAATTAGTCCAACACAGTTCATCTCAAAAAAAACCACTGCACAAGGAAATGAAAAGGGCCTTAAATTGACTGCGATCTCATATTTCAACATAAAAGTTTAAAATATGAAATAAATGTCAATCTCCTCACTAATCCTATTTTTCAAATTTTGATTCTTATCTAAGGCTCAGATAAAGCCTGCATTTACAGAAAAATTGGAGACTACCTGCATCATACTATGAATTTTCATGAATAAAATTTATCTTTGTATTATTGTGACGGCAACTAATTGAGAATAGCATACATACACAAAATTGTTAAAGGTTATTACAGGAAGTTAGTCACTGTTGCTTTTAGAGAATGATACCAAAGCTATCTTGCCTTGCATTAAAAATGTTATTTAAAAGTCAATATCTTTGCAATAAATATATCAAATCAATGTTGTGGACCTCAAACTCACACAATGTTATATGTTGATTACGTATCAATTTTTTAAAAAAGGGCAATGTCAAAGTCTTCACAATCCTCCCATTTCTAGTAGAGAGTTTTTCGTTTTCCAGAGAACATTCAAGTGTAACTCCCTACAGCGGAAAAGTTATTATTTATTGTCATCAGATTAAAGAGAAGTATGTAATGCTACAGAGGAAGATATACATTTGAGAGATAAACTGCTGGCTATCTTTTAAAAAAGGGCATTATAACTATAGATTAATACATGACACTATTAATAAAATCCTTATATATGCTAATATCATTAGTATATTATCAGCTATTAAATAGTACCATTTATTTAACATCACTACTGAAAGCTTTCATTAATGCAAAAAAATTACTTTTCACATTACAAAATCTAAATTCATCAACACCATTCTTATGCTTGAATTATAGCTCAGAACTGAAAAATAGGCAATATCCTCAATTTCTAAAAAACATGGTGGATAAGCAAAAGCAAAACAATTGTAATTTTTTTAATATTTTACTAATCATAATAAAGAATAAAGGCTAACTTTCTCAAATAAATACTCTTCGGTCTTACTAAAAGTTCTTCCAGCTCCATATAAAAACCTGACTCAAAAGGAAAAACAAAAAACTGCAGATTTGGAAGGCCATCATGTTAGTAATCACTGTACACTTAATAACACTGCCTTGCTTTACCCACAACCCCTCTAATTATGGTGTTTAAAAGTGATTGGCTAGATTTGAGTCCCTGTCCCAACACTTCCTAGCAGTATTACCTTTGCAAGTTAATTTCTTTGAATTAATACCATTTCTCATTGGTAAAATAGGAGCAAGTACAGTATCTCCTCATAAAAATCAGTGTGCAGAGTAAATGAAACAAAGCATATAAAGTATTTAGAATAGTTCCAAAACATGACAAATACTCAATACATAACGCCTCTGGGAAATCTCATAAATTTCCTTAAACTTTAATTTTACCACATAAAACATTATTAATACTAGTATCTTTCAGAGTTATGTAAGAATTAAATGAGACAATGAATATAAAGCCCTCATTACGGTATCTGACACACAGTAAGTCCTCTCAACACCTTTATCACTTTCATAATAACATAACATTCCTTGAAATAACTGGCAGTAATTCTGGGATATCAAAACTAGAGCTAGTGGTGGGCCACAGAGAATCACATAAAAAGGGGAGATATCTCTGAAAGAGGGAAGAAAACTATTATTCATTAAGTGTCTGCTAGGGATCATGTGTGTTTATCTCATTTTAATCTCCAAACCAGTGAAGGAGATACATAAATTCTTTTTACAGAGAAGAAAACAAGAGCTTGAAACAAGATACGTTACTTCTGTGTGTGTGCACGCTAAGTCGTGTTTGACTCTGACCCCATGGACTGTAGCCGCCAGGCTCCTCTGTGCATGGAATTTTCCAGGCCAGAATACTGCAGTGGGCTGCCATTTTTTTCTTCAGGGATCTTCCCCACTCAGGGATCAAACCCACCTCTCCTGTGTCTCCTGTGCCACCTGGGAAGCCCATGTTACTTAAGTCACAAAGGGAACAGGTGACAAAACAGACTTAAACTCTTACCTGTCTGACCCCAAAATTCTTCTTTCTGCCTTCTCTCTCCCTATTCTCCCTAGACGATAAAATTATCTAACTACAATCAACAGACCGGAAGTGGCCTGGAAGAACTCCAATAAATGGAACATCACACAGTCAAAAAATATTTTACTGAGTGCCCACTACATGATAATTCTGCATAATCACAAAAATAACATTATTAAGGTTATGTAAATATGTCCTTAAAGGCTTCTTCGCCTCTCTCTAGGTGAGTCAAGAAATGTATCCAGTCCCTGAAGGTACTGCTCTGATGAATGAGACTGTCTATTTACCCCAGTTCTGTGTGTGTGCTGTGCTGGGATGTGCCTAGTCTTTCAGTCGTGTCTGACTCTTTGCGACCCCCTAGACTGTAGCCTGCCCAGGCTCCTCTGTCCACGGGGATTCTCCAGGGAAGAACACTGGAGGGGGTTGCCATTTCCTTCTCCAAGGGATCTTTCCAACCTAAGGATCGAACCTTCCATCTCCTGCACTGCAGAGATTCTTTACACTAGGGCCACCTGGGAAGCCTGAGCAACTCCAAATGTCTGAGTCAAAATTCATAATTAACTCATACACAAATTTGGATTGAGTACTGTTGGGCTGGTATGCAGAAACGTGTCTCTTTGCTGAATGGCCTTCTTCAGAGATCAGCACACTTCTACAAAGAGCCAGAGAGTAAGTCTGCAGGTCGTACTGTCTGTCCCAACTACTGCCTATTCTACTACAGTGCAAAAACTCTGAATGTATACAATACATCTAAATGAGATGAGTGGTGTTCCAATAAGATTTTATTTCTGGACACTGAACTTGAATTTCATATGATTTTCACATGTCATATATTTTTCCCAGCCAATTAATATGTAAAAACATTCTCAGCTCACAGGCTGTACAAAAATAAGCAGTGGAATTGATTTCTGACAAAGGTACAGAAGTAATTCAATGAAGGAAGCACAGTCTCTTCACCAAAAGGTGCTGGAGCAATTAGATATCATAGGCCAAAAAAAAAAAAAAATGAACCTTGACCTAAACCACACATATTATACAAAATTAACTCAAATCAGAGATTCAAATGTAAAAGTTGAAATTAAATAAAACTTTTGGAAAAACAGTAGAAGAAAATCTTTGGGACCAAGGTTTTGGGACCTTAGATGTGACACCAAAAGTATAATCCATAAAAGAAAATCAATACATTGAACTTCAATAAAATTAAAAATATTTGCTCTCTGAAAGACACTGTTAAGAGGATGCAAAGACAAATAACAGAGTGGGAGAAAATATTTGCAAACCATTATTCTGATAAGGGATATACAAATCTGTAATACATGAAGAATTCTCAAAACTCAATAATAAAAAAGCCAAAAGTAATAATAAATTAGAAAATGGGCAGAAGACACAAAAAGATATTTTTACCGATGAGACTATATGGGCAGCAAATGATGGCATGGAAAGATGTTAAATGTCACTAGCCATTGGGGAGATGCAATGATGAAGTATCATTACACATACTAAAACAGTAAAATAAAAATAGTAACAATACCATATACTGGCAAGGATGTAGAGAAAGTAGATCTCTCATACATTGCTAGTGGGAATGTAAAATGGTACAGATATTTCAAGAAATAGTTTGGCCATATCTTCGAAAAACAAAACCTAAACATACATTTGCCAGCAACTACATACACAGAGAAATGAAAATTCACGTTTACACAAAAACCTGAACATGAAGTTCACAGAAGCCTTGTTCAAAATGGCCTAATTGGAAACAACCAAAATGTCCTTCAACAAGTCACTAGTTAAGCTGTGGCATATCCATACCACAGAACACTACTCAGCAATGAAAATAAGTGAGTGATTGATACATACAACTTGAACAGACCTCAAGGACATGCTGGGTGGGAAAAAAATCTCAAAGACTGCACACTGTATATTCCATTTATGTAATATTCTCAGAATGACAAAATTATAGACATGGAGAACAAATTAGTGGTTTCCAGGGATTGAAGAAGGTGAAGAGACACAGGAAGTTTTAATATTACAAAGACAGAGCAAAAGGGGGATTTTTGTGGTGATGGAATAGTCCTGTACCTTGATTGCAGTGGTGGTTAAACTAATCTACAACTGTTAAAACAGCACAAAATTATATGCACACCATTGCAACAATGTTAATTTTTCTGGAGTTGATATTATATAATAGTTATATAAGATATAACCTCTGGAGGAAATTAGTGTAGGGTAAAGACCTCCCTGTATTATTTTTGCAATTTCCTGTGAATATATAATTATCTCAAAATAAGTTAAAAGAGTTCCCGAAAATCTGAGGATAAGGGAAGATATAGTTCTATAAATAACAAGGGTCAAGCAATTCTCCTTATTAACCTTAGAGTTGTTTCAAGGACCAAGCATGACAAAATAACAAAAAGCAGTTTTAACAGTACCTAATAACAGCCAGACACTGTTTTAAGTGCTTTCCACATAGTGTCTCACTTAAGCTACAAACAATCTTACAAAAGAAATATACCTCAACTTTATTTTACAGATAAGAAAACTGAAACTGAAGGAGCTTAAGGTAATTTGTCCATAGTCACACAGCAAGTGGTAGAGCCATGATTTACACTCAGATTGATTCCAGAGGCATGCCTCCAGCATATTATACCAAGTATAAAAATATTCAGTGGGAAAACAAAAGGTATCCATCAAAGTGTGCAAAAGCCTGGATTAAACAAAGGTTAAACCAGTTTATTTTCTGTAAGATTCTCAGAACTTTTAAAATGTCAGTGTGTGTCATGTATCTGGAAGGTGATTGTATTGTTTTTCCCCCAATGTATCTGACCAGGGAACCTTTCCCTCCAGAATATATAACCCAAGTCTCATTCAAAAGTCAAATTGTTTAAACTACAGTTATTGTGGTGATCATTTTGCAATGTACACAAATACTGAATCATTACTTTGTATACTTAAAAATAATAATGTTATAGATCAATTATATCTCAATTTTTTAAAAAGTTAAAATGTTTAAATGACATCACCATAACCCACTTTCCCTTCTTCACATATTGGCAAACCACAAATGCTTAGAGCTACACTGTACAATGTGGCAGCCACTAGCTGAAAGGAACTATTTAATTAAAAAATAATTAAAATTAAATAAAATTAAAAATTCAGTTCCTCAGTCACACAAGCCAAGTCTTCAAGATTTGTTTCAAGGGCCACATACGAAAGGCTACCACACTGGGCAACACGTTTATGGAAAACATTTTTATCACTGGAGAAAAGTTCTGGGAGGCAGCACTGGGTTAAAGGTTTGTTTTTGTTTGTTTTTTAAGACACGGCCTCTGCAATTTTCGGAGACACACACTGTGTATTATTACACATGCATTTGCCACTTCCCCCCATAAAAGGGGGTGAAGTCAGAAATTCTAAATGGAACTGGCTACTGTCACTCTGATGCCAAAGAAGAGGGAAAAGGTAAGCAAAGAACTGGAAAAAATGAATAGCAATATGAGAAAGCAACACCATGCAGCTGGAGAATGAGGCCTGAACTAGGATTCAGGAGATCTGGGTTCTACTCCCTATTATGCCAATGATTTTTTTAAAATTTTTGGTACTTGTTACTAATTAACTGTGACTATATTAGACAAGTCTCTTCACTACTTTAGGCCTGGGTTTTCACTCTTCTACAATACAAATTTGACTTGGATAATCTCTAAGAATTCCTCTGGCTCTGTACAATTAAAACCCACAAAAACACATACATACATGAAATGAAAAAGTAAGAAATAAAGGTAAAAATAAAACAGAGCAAGATTATTGCATACTGGTGGTGGAAACTGGCATTCCTGTCAGTCTGGCACAAGCTCTATTCCTCAGGATAAGACTTAGATACCACCAAAGGAAGAAAAATTTAATTCAATTCAATAAAAACTTACTGAGCAGTAATTTGCATCAAACTGCACCATCACAAAACAAAACAATTAGCCCTAGGTTAAGACCAAATATGTGTAAGAAATCCAGAACTCACCCAACCTGATACTGAAAGACTAGTTCATTAACACATAACTCAACTGCCCCAGTACTAAGAACACAGTATTTTAAACTCTTCTTCAGAAGATAACGCTAAGAAATTACATAAAATCATCTACAAAGTACAAATACATGGCATAATCAAAATTCTTATCCACGCCCCCCACCCCCCACAGAAGAGAATGAAAATAAATGCTACAGGTACTTTCGAATAGGAAAACAGCAATTTTTATGAATCTAATTTGTCTAGAACCCACACTCACTCAGTAGGGTCCTACATTTTCTGGATTATATTCTTGACTTTAGTAAGTTTACTGGAAATAAATTCTCAATTTGTTGTGCCAGGTAAATTAAAATGCAACTGGAATTCTTGTCTCTACTATCGCCTACTGAACATTTCCACTTTTCAGAGGCTCGGCTGGTCCTATTTTCCAGGATCAAAGAGGAGAGAAAACCCTTTCCTGAAAATTAAAAGTGATTTTTACCTCCACATAAAAAAAAAAAAAAAAAACTGTGTTTGATATCTCATCTTTCAGAAGCTAAGGCAACCTAGAAGCTAAGTCGAGCTAATTCATCTCGGTAAAAATTCAAACTCCTTAATAGCCCCAAACCATACTCGTTAATATTGTGGAGCTTTCCATCAAGGAAAACGGGGAGGGGGGGCATTTTAGCGACAAGCCTTTAGACAGTTTTTAATACCCCACTTACTATCTATCCCATGCCAAGGATCTCGCGGCGCGGAAACCCTGGCGATTTTGAAAACAAACGTCGGTAAAGGCTCCGGGAGGGGGGAATGGTAAGGGGGTTAGTAACTGACAGCTCGGCCTCGAAGCAAGAAGCTTCAAGTAGGTCAGACGGTTCGAAATCCAGGGTCCACCCCAGTGGGCTTAGGGGAGTAGAGCAGCAGGAGGTAAGCGGAGGGCAGGCGTCTCTCAGGATTAAAGGGGCGGGATATCGCAACAGAGAGAGAGACCCAGACAGAGCCCGAGCTCGGGGCAGTTCGGCTGCTCTCACCTCTCTTGGGGGCCTTGAGCAGAGGCACCCCTCCTGTCCTCTCGCCGTTTTCCTGCTTGTCCTTGTGCTTGAGCTCTCCCGGAGCGCAGGGGCCGGGGTCACCATCAGAGCCGCGGTGGTGATGGTGCTTGTGCCGCTCCTTGTGGCCCTTATGCTTGGGCCCGGCTGCGCTCACCGTCAGGGGCGAGAAGGTGAAGAGGGCCGAGGTGCCCGGGGCCGGGAGCGGGGCAGCGACAGCGGGCCCGGCGGGTGCCAGCGAAGGTGGCGGCGGAGGCGGCAGGAGCAGAGGCTCAACAGGGCCTGGGACGGTTGAGGCTGCATTCGTTGGCGGCAGCGGCCCGGGATGTTGGCGGCTGCGACGCCGCCGGTGAGGGGGAGCGAGAGGGGGGTCCTGGCTCGGCCGCCCCCGCTTCTCCTGAGACCCCCCGCTGCTCGCTCGGCGCTGCCGCTTCACTCCCCGCGGCGAGACCCCAGCGTGGGGTTTCTCCTTCCCGTCTTTGTCCGCCTCCTCCTGCGCCGCCACCGCCCGTACTACGCGCACCGCTCCGACCTGCGCAGCCATTTCACCCACAAACACACATTTAAATGGCCCGACCGCCCCCCCGTCCGCGTATCGCGCAAGCGCCGCCCGCGCACGGCCCGCTGGGCATTGGAGTCTCTCCCCCACCCTCCACTTCTCGGCCATTCTTCGTTCAGAGCTGAACGTGCCGGAAGTGGCACTTCCCGGCGCTTCTCCGCAGGCCCCTCCGACCGAGCTCTATTGTAAAGTACCCAAGGCCGCGCAGAGCCTCACGGGAGCCGTAGTTCCCCGCGCCCCCGCCGCGTCGCTGGCTCGTCAAGCCGAGGAGCTGAAAGAGAGCGTGCGCCGAGTCACGCTTCGGGCTGCGACGCAACCGCCGCTGGGCGGAGAGTTGCCGCCAACCGCCTTAACGGCCGAAACAATGTTAATAGCTTTCGAAGTCTGTCGGCGCGTTCCCATTATCGCCTCCGTGTGCCCCTCCGTCATTTTACACGGAGTAGGTGGTCTCCATAGTTACTTTTCAGTTTGCTGTTCCTCTCATAACCTTTGTGAGGTAAAAGAATCTCCGGCCTTTTACAACCCTGGACAAGCGATGAGATGCAGAGGAAAAGGGAACGTAGTAACATAGCAAATGAGGGCAATTTTGCTTTAAGATAGAATGGAGCTGCAAATCAGACATTTCTGAACCTCTTCCTGGGCAGTAATTGCTATGGTTACAAGCTCAGGCGCGACAGGGCAGGTGCAAGAATTGCCTGGGAGCCTGCTGAGCGCCGCCCACCTCTCCATCGAGTCGCAGCCCCTCTAGTGCCTGGAAAGGTAGAGTCTATCTACCTTTAAATCCATTCCTGCAGTTGCGGAAAAATCCTAGATGGAAAAGTATGTTTTGAAATTTCTTAAGATTTTTTTCAAATCGTAAATATACGGCTGCATAAATTTGAGAAGTGTGTCTACCATAGCCCACTCCAGAAATCATACTACTCACCAAGTTTTCTGCCCGGAAATTTATTTACAATTTGATCGTCACGTTACAGTTTTACCGCCTCGATAAAGATATTTGGAAGTAATTGATTACAATAAACTACTCAAGATAAAATCACTGTGGTTTGATACCACTAGTATCAAGAAGTATTCAGCTCAGTGAACACTATAAAGTTAGTTTAAAAACCAGAAAGTTTATTGAGCACCTCTTGTATACAGTACACTATACAATGAAAAGGTAATATTTCATCTGATGTGTGTCTTCATTGGGATTCCTAGTGAACAATATTGAAAAACAAATGTCTATGTATTTCATTTTCATAAAGTTATAAATTTTTAAGTGACGTCATTATTAGTCAAGGGGAATCCTTTGTAATAATCACCCACTAACTTGTTTGTTATATACAATTAGATTTGAAAGATCAACTTTCTTAAGGCAAATCCATATTAATATAGAAAAAATTTTAACTAGTAGTACCTCTGGTTAGTTGGATATAAGTTATACATGTTTTACAGGACCTTTGAAATGAAAAAATGCTACTGTATAAACAAAGCATGTTTATACAGCTACTTTTTTGTTTTGTCTTTATTTTTGATTGAAGGATAATTACTTTACAATATTGTCTTTGTTTCTTCCCTACATGAATCAGCCATAGGTAAGCATGGTCACTTCCCACTTTAACCTCCCTCCCACTTCCCACCCTGCTATTTTGCTGATTATTTTTCTAGATTTGGTAATTGAACAACTTTGGCTAAAGCTTATCAGGAATTGAACATCTTGTTATTTGGTATATCCAAATGAAAGACTGTCATTAAAATGATTACTGTCATTAAGTATATATTTTATTCTCTTTAGGTGTAACTTCTTTTCTCACTACTTTGTTTCTCATAACACTTGGGAAAAGATGTGTACTCCATTTAGGCAGAAATAACTCTCAGGAAATAATCATTTTCACAAGCAGTAATTTTGTAGTGCAACCACAAGGTAAGATTTTTCAAAACACTTTTTATAGTAACTTCTGAGAATGTAGACATTTATTTGAGGTCAGATTTTTACAAATCTTTTAAGTTTATATTTAGGTAGAAAGGTAAAGTAGAATAAAAATAACTTCTAAAAAGGAAAAATAAGTCCATTCCAAAACTTTCTCATACAGCATTCTCTGTACATAAGCTTAAATGACAAACTCCTATTTGTGCTTTCCAACCCAATGTAAATGAGATGAAATGTAAAACTTCTGACACTTATTTGCATATTGGTCAGCTTTTAAAGCTATTGACATTATTACCATGTCTTCATGGTTGATATTATGAATATACATTTATTTTAGCTAGCAGTATTCTATTAGTTTTATTTACAGATTCACTTGCAGGCAATATTCCAAAGCTGTTTTAAATTTTCCAAGTTGATGGTGGTTTCCTTGGTCCTTTGGGTTTTGAAAAACGATTTGCAAAACCTAGGAACAAAAATAAAACTGAATGGAGAAAGATCTCTTAAATAGAAATGAACACTTTTTCTTTTGAGTGTATTGTAATATGTGGAAATATATGGATTTTTTTCCCTAAAAGGTTAGCATCTTTGATCAGTTTAGTAATAGATTATAAAAGCATTCTAGTAATTACATTAGTGCTTAAATGATGACAATACAATTCTAATAACACCTTAAATTTGTGGAACACTTACAAATTTAATAATGGTAATAATTAGATGGTTATAATAGCCTGTAGTAATTCAGTATTTTTTTCTCCAATATTGAGATATTGACATATGTACGTTTACATGTGACATGTGTATGTTTAAGGTATATGATTTGATACACATAAATATTGTGAAATGATTAGCACATTAAGGTTAACACCTCCATCCCCTCACATCATTGCCATCTTGTTTGTTAGATGAGTTTTTGAGATTTTTCTCTTAACAGCTTTCAAATATATAATACAGCACTGCCCGCAGTGCAGGAGACCCATCTTTGATCCCTGGTCGGGAAGATCCCCTGGAGAAAGGAATGGCATCATCTCTAGATTACTTATAATACCTTATATAATGTAAATGCAGTATAAATAGTTGCTGGTGTATGGCAATAAGGCAGTTGATGGAGGGCTTCCCTGGTGGCTTAGTGTTAAGGAATCTGCCTGCCAATGCAGGAGACACAGTTTTGATCCCCGATCCGGGAAGATCCCACATGCCACAGAGCAATTCAGCCCATTGTTGTTTTCAGTAGCTAATTCATATCTGACTCTTTGCCACCCCGTGGACTGTAGCAAGCCAGGCTTCCCTCTCCTTCACTATCTCCAGGAGCTTGCTCAAACTTTTGTCCTTTGAATTGGTGATGCCATCCAACCATCTCATGCTCTATCACCCCTTCTCCTCCTACCCTCAATCTTTCCTAGCATCAGGGTCTTTTCCAGTGAGTCAGCTCTTCATTAAGCCCTTGTTGTAAAGTTAGACAGGCCATGAGCTATTCAAGTGGTGTGTCTGATTGAGAGAAAAGAAGAAAGCAAGGAATATTTATGTTTCAGGCAAAATTTGGTGCTTTTTTCATAGGTTATAGAATATCCTATATGAACTTTTTAACTAAATGATTTAATAAGAATAATAACTTTTTTCTAAATGTAACATTTTAAACCTTAGAGTTAATGTAATCCAAGTAAAAATTTTAAAACACAAGAAACAGATCCAAAGATTCTAGTTAAATACTTTGCCTTGGTGAGATAGGGACCATAACCCCAATTGTGGCAGAGATTGCTACCTGTCCACCCAAATTTTTCTTTGTTTCTTCTTCAGGAATAGAGTAGTATATGGGAAGCTTATCTGCCCAGTATTATTGCATTTTCCTGGTGTCTTTTATAGTTTGGATGTAACACATGCATAGCATAAAGTTGCCTCTTCCAGGCTAGTGCCATAAGTCCTGAAGAGGAGGCCACACACCTCTTCAACATTTTTCTCTCTTCTTGCCACCTACAGTATGAATGTGGCTGCAACAGTTTTGATCATTCAGATGAGGACAATACCATGGAGCAACAGTTCCTCAGGGTGTGGTCCCTGGGACTACTGGAGGTCCCCCAGACCTTTTCAGGGATTCTGCTTTTTGGTTAATAATTTTTAGTAGTAATATCCTCTACCATTTACTATACTTCTTACAAAAAAATTATGTAGTATATATAATACTACCTTAAATAGTATGAATTTATGTTATATAAATAGAATGCTTAATATAAAATTATTTTAAATTTATAGGTTATATTAAAGAGCAACTGGGCAAACAGTTCCTTTAAACTGTCAGAATTGTGCTTCACCTTTTACTGTCGAATGAATTTTAATAAGATTAGATAGTAGCATCATCTGTTCTTTTCATCACACTTGCATATTTCTTATAACTTTGCTTAGATATGGATTAGAGTATTAAAAGTATTTCAGAATTTCTGCATGTGGCTTTCACGTTCATTTATTACATGCCAACATGATCATTTGGTACCTAGTTTTATTTTCCACATATGCTAGGCAATTCAGGCCTATGTAACATGTAAGAAGAAGCTGAAAATAAAAAGATAAATGGCATGAAAAAGAATATAAACATAAGGACTTACACATGTAACCTTAAATCATATTAATGTTGTATCTCTTATACTGCAAATGAATAATTAAGGTAAACATTTTTTTAACTCTACTAGAAAGTAACACACATACCAAAATTCAAAAAGGAGCTGGAGTTACTTGACTGAGCTGTCTCTGCAGGCTTGTTTGGTGGGGAAGAATTACAGATACCTAAATCACAAGAAAAGGGAAAGAATGAATATAGACTCAGACCACATAATTGTTGAGATTAAACGTTTCCTCCAAATTAATTAATACTTCTAGATAAACATCACATGTAACAAAATATAAGTGCTTACAAATGTGTTCATACTATAATTTTCTCATTTTTGTGTGCATTTTTTTTAAGTTTTCTTTGCAAACAGATTGTATGGTAAACCCAACACTAAAGAAAATCACCAAAAGATTCAAGAATACAATCTATTTTATTGTGAATCTACTTTTTATGGGATTTGCATTTTGGTTTTCA